CAATTTCTCATTTATGATCAAGACTCCATACGAAGCTACTTAAAAACTATCCACCAGGAACCGATGAAACCCTCAATTTTAATCAAGTATTATTTTAAAAGATAAATCGACAAGAATATTCTTTCTTTTGTTTTATTGCCGAAATATATATATTTTCTTCACGTGTCCATTCGGTATTTTTTTCATGATGTACTTTCAAAATTGGCAAGTACTCGTATTTCTTAGCCCCCCCCCCCACCAATAACTCTAACCCCTAGCCTCTACACCTTCAGTGTCTTCCTCATTCCAATTGTACTTGTCAAAGTATCGATATTTGAAGGGCAAGTTCAAGTTAGGGACGTACCGAAGACTGGTACGTTAAAAAATGCATGCATTTATGACCTTTTCGCCACCCGTTTTCTGCACTTTTTCTTGTGTTTTTCAATATTTTTGGAAATGAAATTCCGGAAGGGTCAATTTTCAGATTTTACTCGAAAACAAAGTACAGAATATAAACGGGACATTTTTTTTGAATTTGTGAAGAAAAGTGTGAACTGATCGGTGGTGAAAAAGTTAAATGTATATTTATAAACTCGGGAGTTGTACATTATACAGAGTGTAATTTGTGACGCAGGCTGTTTTAGCGTATGGATTCTGCAGATGGAGATGTACCATTCCTAATGGCCTTTAATTTGAGTAAACCGGAGCTTCTGACACTCAAAATGGCCGCGTTCATGGGTGCAGGAACAATGTCGTTTAAACCGACCACCGTCTATTCGTTCGTCATCTAGCCTTTTCATCACTAGATTTTCTCGCCAAAATTTGTCTGCACTTTTTCTTGTATATTCTATTTCTATTTGATTTTGGAGCCAACATTTTAATTTAAGTACATTTACACTCAACAAATTCGACCATTTGTCAATCTTCTGAATGAAAATACAGACTATAAACGAGATTATTGTGAATTAGTGACGAAGAGGGAACTGGTGTTGGGAAAAAAGGCTAGAATATAAACACAATATACGTTGAATGGTGACTGCAGATCAAAATGGTATCGTATTTTGAACGGCCTAAGAGACATCAATTTACGTTATGGAAGCATTTCGTCACTAGAGGGCGCGGTTTATAAGATTTCCAATGCAGTGGATTTACACATTTGTTTGTACAAATGCATGTATAAACATATCATGCTTGGCCTGGCTTCGGTGTATCCAAACGTATCAAGAGGCGACGCACAAGTCGGAATTAGATACTGGGGGGTCGACAACCGTGCTCCCTCTGATTGGTCTGCCTGTTGGGGTATACAATCGGACACATCTTGTAAGGGACGACGTCAAAAGATCGATGTCGGATAAAAAACTTGTTTCATGTAGTTTAGGGGTGGGGGGTTTTGACCTCAAAAAGTTTCCATCCTACAAAAACGATTTTATTTTTTAATGAAGTCAAAAAAAATCTTGGAGTATTTGTAGTTCGTTTTTTTTTTCTATCCAATCATGGACAGAAATAACCGAAAAGGGAAAAAAACAGGAAAATGGTTTGGCTCGAGTGTAAATTTGTGCGTCAAATGAGGTGCATTTGTAAAATCTTTTTACACCCACCCGACAAC